CAGAAATGGGATTGCAACATAACCAGGCCCCACTGTAGGGGGCTTTCTCCCTCTCGTTGGTGAGTGCATGTACCTTCTGGCAAACATCTAAAAACCAAAAATTCATGGGGCCCACATTACTCTAGAGAAGTCAGGAGTCAGATCCCCAGCCTGGTCAGTCTGAGACACACTGGGCATGGGTGTGAGTGCCTAAGATCCGAGAGGCTAGAGGAACGAATGAAGGAGACTGCAACATAACCAGCCCCTGGGCAGGGGGCTTGTGTCTCCTTTCCTCATGTGTACCTGCAAATCATCTATCATGAATAAGGAAAAAATTAAAAATACAAAATGGAAAACCACAGATCATGTATTTTCAAGATACTGGTTAGCAGAACTCTCAATTCAGGCAATAGGGTGTCTACACATTGTTGCCCACTTTAACTGATCAACCACCAGTCCAGAAAGATCTGAGGACATCCACAGGAACCCAAGTGATACATCGTCAGGTTCATGCTATGAAATGAGTTTTAAGAAACACTAAAAATCAGTACCTCTCTGGCTTGAAATCGGCTGTCACTGTCTTTTGGATATTTGAGACCATCATACAGGGCCACGGCTCTGGCCTTTAAAAACAGACAGCCCGAAACCAGACAGTACAAATGAAGATAAAGCACAAGAAGGAAAGGGGCCTACAACACGTAAATCCTAAGGTGGGCCACTGTAACATTAAAGCCCTTTTCCTCCTCTTTTCATTTCACAAGTAGACATTTCATGGTTGTTTTTAAAAATTTCCCAGAGGGCACATGTGCTTTCAAGGAGGGAAAGTAAGAAAGCTATCTGCCCCAATCCTACCCGACTCCACCCCCAGCATGGCTGCACTACAAGCCCTTCTCACATCCACTTTCCCCTTCTTTGGACACTTGTGCACACATACTTGGCACAGTTCTCAAGCTGCCAGGTCTGTGACTCCAACCACAGAGCCGGCCATTTGGGATCCAGCTGTCTGGTCCAGCCACAGGCTGGTTTTAGCTGAAATTTCTTAAAGCATCTAAAAAAAATTCTCAAGTCTGGTAAATTAAGATGCATTTTTAAAGCTTTATATTTAACCACATGGGAGGAAAAAGGGCTGCACGAAAAATCACTAATAACCTGTTAGAAAAAGACATCCTCAATATATTTAGGTTCTGACAGTCTTTCTTTCTTTTTTTTTTTTAAGAATTATTATTTACCTTTATTTATTATTTCCCAATTTGATCAGAGAGAGAGACAGAGAGAGAGAGGGAAAGTGAGAAAGCAAGCCACCAGTTCTGAGACTTGAACCACAGTCAGCCATGCGGGAGTCTAGCACCTTTAACTACCACACCACCTGCCGGCACCTAGGTTCTGACAGCCCACTCTTAACTCTTTAACCTATGATACCTTCTTATTCTACCTTCCATATCTTGCCTCCAGCCAAGAGTCTGTTGGAGTTGTACTTTCTGTACTTTGTATTATAAAAACAGGTAAAACAGTTTTCAAACTACATACTCCTCTCATTCCCAAAACCATCCTTATCTCCAATTACTTAGTTCATCGTGGGCATAATTTGCTATTAACTAAAAACAAACCCGGGCTCCCTTCCTCCTCTACTTACCAGAGTAGCTCAAGGGAACAGAGAAAGTTCTTAAATTTATGTGACCAAATCTACTGTCAACTATTTTGTTTGTTTTTGGAGAGCTTTTTGCTATAGGGCACGTGCGCTCGCCAGAAAGAGACAGAGAGACAGAAAGTGAGAAATCACCCCCCAAGGGAGGATGGCCACGCCGCAATTCCTTCTCTTCTCGGGATCTTGGGCACGCACACACATGCAACAGGCGTGAGTCTAAGCCACCGGGTCCAGGACTTGAAACCGTGGTAGACTACATGGAAGTCCAGCGACACAGACATTATGCTAACTGCTGGTCCCTATTGTTAACTATTAACTGAGACATTTCTTGGGTTATCTTGCCAAGTGCCAGTAAAGCCAGAGACAAGTTGTGATGACCAAACCATGAAGGAACACTGACACAAATAGTTTACTTTTACTGAAGACGTTTGTTGCCATTTTCCATCACAGATCCTACAAAGACTCCAAGTTATTAGTAACATATTAATATAACCAACAAAGCAACACCCACCTGCCTTGCACATGAAAAATGCAAGCTATATAGCTAGCTGGTCACTCTTTAGGTCCTAACATTTAGGAGGCTGACACTTAAGGACGAGACTATGAAAAATAGTAGTAATGGAGGTGACTTGGCAAGAAGGCAAGTATAGAAGTGGTGACAACTCTCAGATTCTAGAATCTGAGAATTTTAAGTGTTTAAGAGCCTATGGGTCAGCAGGTAGCGTGGTCATTAAGGCACTGGATTCCCACGTGGTTGACCATGGACATACACATGCACACATGTACCCCAAATCCTTAGAGAACAGAGGAGAAGGGACTGCACCATGGCTATCCCTCTTGAGGGGTTATTTTCCATCTCTCTAGTGAGCCCATGTGTCCTATGGCAGGAAAAAAAAAAAAAAGGGCAAAACAAACAAAAGCATCTCAGACCCATGGGTCAAGAAAGCACCTGTTCCAACAGTGACTGGCTGACTTATTCTCCTAGAGCTGCATCTAAAGCCCTGTGTCCTGGGTGCAGAATTCTGGAATAAATAACTAAAACATCTCAGTATTTCACTTAACAAATTGAGGAAATGAGAAAGCTGTAGTGGTAAACTCTACGAATGTCTTACCAAAATTATGAAAAATACAAATGTAAATAATATGAAGATGTATTTCTGGCCCTTTATTTTCTTCCCAGAAGAATGGTGAAACTCTCTTCCACACTCTGTAATCTGCACCATCAAGAACTTTTCTTAGGCCAGCTGGTGGCACAGAGGTTAAGGGCAGCTGGATCCCACATGGCCAAATGCATGGCTCGAGTCTCAGACCCAGCAATTTGAGAAACATACCAGTGATTTCCCCTTGTGTTCTTGTGTCTGTCTCTGGTGAGTATATGCATCCTATGGGCAAAATTAGACTTTTCTCCCTTCCTTGGCAGACTGTGTTGCAGTAACAATTTGGCTACTCTGAAAACAGGGGCCATGACTATTATTCTCTACATCAGTTCTTAGATTGAATACAATTTAGATGACCAGAAATCCCATCTTCAGATGATAAGTTTTTCCAAGAGCATAATGTACTCCTGACCATCCTTTTTGGTACACTGACAAACCTTTTTACTTCAGATTTTAGGAATGGATTAGAAATGCCAAGATTCATTATTTAGAGAATACTTTATTAGTTTTTGTAATCAAACCCATGTAGATAAGACCTTACATATTTAATACAGTGCGTTACCCCTGTACAAATGGAAAAAAATTAAGTTTAACGTTTCTAGACCAATATGGCTGTTAATTTCTGTACAATGCCAACTCAACACAGTAAACTGGGATACTTTTTCCAAAGTTGACAGCACAGCTAAAGTTTCCAAAAATTCAAATTATATATATATGTATATGTATATATATATATATACATATATATTTATATAAAAAGACCAATAATAGCAGTATGTTATGCATCAATAGCAGCAACAGCTTTTCCAGGTTCTGCAGTCATCTGAACAAAATTATAGAGACATCCGGCACACTCTATTTAAAAAAAAAAAGAAAAAAGAAAAAAAAAAAAGATAAAAAACAAAACAAAACACCCCCCCAGAAAACAGAAAAGTTCTGTTACTGTTGTGGTACCTGGCACCATTTTTGTTTTTTAATTAGCTTCTGAATCATCATCTGGAAAGAAAACATTCTAGAACAACATCATTAAAAACAGCTCTGATAAAGCACGGTCACTACTACGTATCATAAAGCAGGTACAAGGTATTTTACATTCACAGAGGTATGATACAGTACTGTCCTACATCTATAATACTAGAGGATATAATTAAAAAGGCATTATTTGAGACTTGATTCTACTTTTCCAGCAGAGGGCCCAAGGATGGTATGACACAGCTCTGTAAAGAAATGAACTTTCTTAGATAGGATTCCTTTCATTAGTGGCACAGTTCTAGGTACTCACTGCTCTTCATGACTATCAGCTAAAAACCATTAAAAAAAAAAAAAAGAAAAAGAAAAAGAAACAAAAAATATTCAATCAAAAAATCCACCAACAAACCATTGGATTCATACGAAGATGACCAAGCAGAGGCTAGCAAGACTCAACCTAACTAGTATTTTACCAAATCTGTCATGTTTGAATGGTGAGAGCTCCGTGGAACAAAGGAGACGCCAAGTAGTGCTTGAAGCTTCAGACCACAACCAGAACACAGAATCATTTCAAACAGAAGCAGGAGTCACACTGCCCACTTGGATATGTTCAAGGGTGCTGACAGCAATACTGAACCATCTGCTCACTCACTCATCCAGGAAAAAGGGGAGATCAGTTACTGTTGTACTATGATTGTGTTCAATTCCATCACTATGTTATAAAAATAGCAAGCTGCCATAATAAAAAATAAGGCTCCTCTACCCAGCACCAGTTGTCTTCAGTTCTTCACCCCCAAGCCTACAAATGCCATAACCATATCCAAAGAACACGAGGGAGCAAAGAAACCATGTCTGATGGATTAGCTGGACCACCATGTTGTCAGGCTGAGCTATTCCTCTGTGGTGCTATCTTCCTCTATTTCTGGTGTTTCATGTAACCATAAAGATTTTTAAGTCTAAAGTATATGCACTCAAGGAATGTGTGCACAATTTGTATATAAACTCTGACCGAAGATGCAACAGCCATCAATCGAGTGCAAGTTACAGAGCAGGTGCAAGCTCGCAAAGCCTCATTTTTACGGTGCAGCAGCTGTGTGTCAGTGTACATCGCTCCTATGTCCCCTGTGCATCTCCAAGCTCTGGACAGGATAATGTCAGACCATCTTACCCTTTGGCCATTGGCATCACCTGACTTCATTCTCTCTGTTTCCCCTTCCCCTCCCCTAGCTCCCTGTAATAAACCACAGCTTTTAAGATTTTGTTTCTTCAGTTTTGATCGCCTGAGGTTTGATTGGTCCAGTTCTAACAGGTTTGGTGGCTATGGTAGGTGCAGGGGGTGGCTTTTCTTCTACTTTCTCCTGACAGACACCAGGAGGGTCAGTCAGTGTTTCAGGAGGTTTACTTGAATCACTGTCCACCTTCTGGGCTTTGCCTCCTATCTGTTTGCTCTGTTGCTGTTCAGAGAAGAACCGTTGCGTGGACTGAAGAACCTCTGCTCTTTGTTTTGCCTTAAAAAATAAGAAACAACAACTGAAAATGCTGCAGCGTTACCAAGGCCTGTCAAATTAATCTCAGTTCACATTCTTTCACCAATCACAAATCAGTTTCCCCACGTTGTTTTGGCACAAGCCAAAAGCATCTCATTGATCTTCCAGCCTTTAATACATAGATTCCTTCCTATCTTTGAAAACATTTCATGTGACAAAAAAAAAAAAACAAAAAAAAAACAAAAAACCAAAAACCAAACAAACAAACAAACAAAAAGAAATAACAGGACCACCTCCCACCATTTTTTCGAAGCCTGCCCTCTTATAAATAATAAAATATAAACTGCTGCTGATTTGTATCTTTTCTGGAACAAAGCTTATTGATAATCAGTTTTATTAGGGAGCCTGCTTACAAATCTGAAAACATACATGTAACACTTAAACTTCTAGTTATTAACATGTGGTCTACAATAAAATGAAAAGGAAGCACTTATATTGTGGCATTACCAACACCTAGGACCAAATGTCTTGTGGCTGAGTCCTCTTCCCACAGCTCTCTTCTGCAGGGGAAGAGCATCAGAAATTAGTAACTACAACTTCACTTGATCACTAAGTTCTGATAGCTCCTACCACATTCTGAGCTGGTAAAATAATTCTTTAGTTTTATTGACTATGTGCCCCAAAGAACATACTTACGCCAATCTGTAAATGATACCACTGTAGCATACACAATCGAACTTAAATTTCTATGTCTTAATTACACCAAAAAAATCCTCCATGTTCTACACAGTAACCTGCACTACCCAAAAATTGGAAGCCATTTTCAAGAAATGTATACTTTTCTCCACCCTGTTAAGATGATCAAACGCTAATGTCACTTCCAACGTGGGAATGTGTGAAAATCAAGTGCCGAGGAGCCAAGAGCAGAACTGGAATCCAAGGCCAAATAATCCCCCACAATTTTCAAATACCAGTATTTGTAATAGTGACAAACAGATGGAAATCCTAGGCAAGCAGCCTAAGAGTGTTACTTTGATTACTCAGGATCAGAAACACAAGGGATGTCAACTCGGAAAGAAACTTCAGCAGTCACTCCAATTCTCTAAGATAATTATCATAATAAGCATGTTTCTAATTCAGAGTAAATCATTACTGTGCACATATCTCTGTTTCAAGAAGTTAAGTTTTCTTTGCTGTAGTCTGATCTGATTTATGTAGTGACAAAAATAGGCAAAATAACTAACATCTCTAAGGCAAAACCTTGAGTAAATACAGAAATAAACTGGTTCAACTGGCTGTACAGGCAGACGGGTAAGGTTTATGCTATAAGAACTGTCCCCACACAGACTCCTAAAGGCACTCTTCTGCATTAGCAAACCTCATGTTTATCAGTGCCTTTCATCATGAAGGATCCCAAAGTGCTTTTGTGAGTTCTTAATCTACAACTGTATAATCCATTGTGAAATACAGCTACCTTAACTGGCAGGCAAAAAATGGGTATAAAAAGATTGAGAAGAAAACTGTACTCGGATGACTCATAAGAGAATAAAAATCAAGACAGGCAATATAGTCTTACCCATTCCAGTTTTTACATAACCATGATTTATAACTTAAGCTGACAGGTAGAGAGGGCAGGGAGGGGAGAGAGATAAAGAAGAAAAACAAAACAAAACAAAAAAAACAAACAAACAAATGAAAGTGGGGAAGCTTATAATGATCCATATTCCTTTTTTGTTATTCCAAAAAATGTAGTATCTAAACTCAGATCTCCCTCAAATATTCATTTTATAAGCAATTCATTTGGCCACAGAGTTTAAAATGTTAATTTATTGCCTGACTATAATTACAAAAAGGATTAAAAAAAAAAAAAAAAGAAAAAAAATGGAAAAAGAGTGGTGGTAGTGGTAGGGAAATAGGGAGAACAAAAACAAAAACAGACAAATAAATACATAAAAGCCCAGGAATGAATATGAGTAGTTAGCTTGGGTAAGCCTGCTAAGACAATGAATGCCTGGATGTAGGGCTATGGGTCCAGAGGCACTGAAGACATGGTTCAGAGACAGAGCTTTGCTCTGCTGGCTGTTACCACTGTACTAACCTTCATGTCTTGTTCGGCCTTCAACGCAGCCTGGGCCTGATTACCTCTGACTCCAGAGAGTGATCCACAAGGACCCCTGGCCACATGTGGCAAACGAGCATGGCTCACGAGGCCTGTGGTCAGCGGAGGAGGCATCTGGCTGGCCAGTGCCACGGGTGGCCTCTGAGCCGGCGCTGGGAAGGTGTTAGTATGTGGGGCTCTTACCAATGGAGGGACCAGGTTAGGCTGAGAGAGAATCTGAGTGAAAAAACAAAACATACAACATGAACTGTTAAAAAAAACCCTGCCAACTAGACCAGGTTGGCTTATTCCAGAGTAAATCTGTGCCCATCCTGCCAGTGAAAGGAAGTACATGAGTTGTGCCATTCCATGAACAGGGACAAAGAACAGGCCATGCTTGGAGAATTTAACAGAAAAATTAGGCAAAGCATGCTGTGGCACTTTAGTTGGTTCTAGCACCGAATCTACAAATTCTGTTGAGGGTCGGGGGAATAGGAAGACTATTAATTAGGGTATCTTTAAAAAAGGTACCACCGCAGAAACGGCACATACCTATACCAAACATAATCTAAAGAAGAAATTAACACTAACTCAATAAATGTATGTTTTCTCAGGAACCAATTTTAGTTTGTGTTGGTTTTGATCAATTTTAGATAGTCCTTCAATATGATCAGCAAAGGGAAGAAAAGCGACACTTTTCCACAATATTAAAACAATTTTTTAGAGAATTTTACCTCAATTGCACATAGACATCTTTAGAAAACAAACCAAAAAAAATATAAAATAAAATAAAATCCATTTTAAATCTAGAAAACTTCAAGCACTGGGACCCTTCGCTGAAAAGTCAACTTATTCAATAAAAAATAAAAGGAACAGGACTCAAATAAATTATCAGAGCTGTGTGGGGAATCTTTTGACTATTCTACTGTCTGCTTTGGAATTCAAGAATTGTTATCTGTGTCTAGCTATTAATTGCAAAGATTACATCAAATACCATAAGTTTACTACTAAAATCAAAATCTGTTTTTCCATTAAAAACCATATGTAACTGGTTAACATATGGCAAAATTATGAGATCATGGATTTAGGCAAGTAAAAAATACTCATTCTCATATATATCTGCCCACCTGGGGTGCAAACTGTGT